TCATAAACATGAACCAGTTGTTAAGCATCCGAACGTAAATCACATGACAATGGGGATGCTGCAATGGTCATAAGAGTAGAAAAATGGTTGTACGGTCATTTTTTTCAATGCCATTGTAACTTCGAATGTTTACTAAACAAACGGTTGTAAATCAAGGATTACCTATACTATCCAGATGTACTGCTACTTATCTAAGGCGTAGTTTCAGTTCATATATTAAGTATTGAGGTATTGGATGAATATATTTTCCAATTTGAACATGTATTTCTGTTATGTTGGTATCTTTCTGTGCAATAATTTCCAAACAAATTTAAGTGCAATCTTAGTTCTTAAAGTATGTTTCTCCCAGTGTTATTCGTTCCATTCCATCCATTATCCATGGTAATAACCAGGATGTTACAAGCCTCGCTAACCGACTATAAGCGATAGGCAATTCTGTTACTAAGCACTGTGGCTGCTAAGTGAAAAATCATGTTACTACACTGGACCTATGATACCACTTCTGTTTCTATCATTAAACAAACCACTGCAGTCATTAAAGCTGTGACTGCAACTTTCATTTCAGTGTTCTCCATTAATTCTGTTTGTTGGAAGGCAGATGTTAAGCTCACAAATGGCGATTATGGGATTGTGGGATCTTGCACAATCATAAATGAAAGGGTGAAAAGCTTTTTCTCCCCAACTGCGTGGTCAAAATTGTTCTAGGCATACAAAATTTCTCACATACTAAGACCTTGATTGTGATGCCAAATCATTTCCTGTTGTGATCAAGATTAACTGTACCACTTATCTTTTGTTTTATTGACATGATTAAAAATAGCTTCCTAGTTAGCTGACAGTTCAGCAGTGACATCAATTGATACTGTAAAATATCTTTATCCCTATAAGAAACATAATGAACATACGAATTGATAAAACATTTTTATGCCTATAATAAACACAAAGATTCATCATTAGGTGATTGGTATAATTTCCTCTCATTTGTAAATAATAAACCAGTAGCTAAATATTTTCCTTAGAGTCATATTTCATTCAGGCTAGTTACACAAAATACATGAGCTCACTGATACAATATTAAACTTAATGTATTCTATATACAGTATTGCGTTCAATTAGACTTTTTTCATGAAAACATAAAGATGCCTTCAAATCAAGCACAACTCCTGATGACTATATGGACTTATTGATGTAGTTTTCCTTGCAACAGTATGGATTTTGGATAATTTTGAAAAAGTTTTGCCATATCAGATTTGATTATTGCTTGATCATCCAGAATTCCAACTCATTAGACTGGAAAATTGAAAAAACAAATATGAAAAAAGCAGTGGCAAACTACTACCATACTATTGCCAGGATAGCAACATGGATGTGGTTATTTTGTATATTTTACCCTTAATTATAAACATAATTAGTGAGGAAGCGATATCAGGCCTCACTTCCATTTGGATGGGAGAATGAATGCCATGTTTGAGGAATACCTCAAACTGCTTCCAGGGCAGAGAAGTAAAATGACCTCCAGAATGGTTTGGGAGAGATTTGACATTGTTGAGAGAGAGAAAACAAAATATTCTGGAATTCTCCAGAGTATCCTATACCTGAATTGCTCAATTTTGCCATTTTGACCCGTCTTAACAAAAACTCATTGCACTTCCAATGACATTCTTCTCTTTATTTACCTCAACTGATATCTTTCTCTTCTGCTTCTACTTCCTTATACTTTGAAAACATTATTTTTTCTCACCCATCAACCATTCACATCCCACTGTAACAGGTGAAATCCAGCAGGTTCTGACAGGTTCTGGAGAACCGGTAGTGGAAATTTTGAGCAGTTCGGAGAACCGGTAGCAGAAATTTTGAGTAGTTCGGAGAATTGGCAAATACACCTCTGGCTGGCCCAGAGTGGGGAGGGAATGGGGATTTTGCAGTATCCTTCCCCTGGAGTGGGGTGGGAATGGAGATTTTGCAGTATCCTTCCCATGCCATGCCCAAGTTATGCCCACAGAACTGGTAGCAAAAAAATTTGGATTTCACCACTGCACTGTATGTATTTCTGCTCACTAATAATCATCAATTTTACTTTGGTCCAGGACAAATTGATTGGTTGCTTTTGCAGATCTTAACACTCTTTGCAACTATATTCATATCCATAATGTGAAGGCAGCTATCTTCTTTCTCTCCATTTTGTCAGGATCCAACTTGGACAGTTGTATAATATAGTATGGGAAAAATTCTGTTCACTGATGTCTTAAAACTCTCATTATAACAGCTCTGCCAGGCAGATGAAACTGGAAATCAACTCCATAGGAAGGCTAACACTACCTTTATTGAAATTACTATAATATCAGATGTTGGAGAAGACTTCAGAGAATACTATGAGGCAGCCAAGAAAACAAACAAATGAATCATTGAACAAATCTACTCAGAGTTCTCACTTGAGATAGAAATGACCAGACCAGACTCACATTATCCTACTTCGGGCACATTGTGTGAAGAACTACTTCTGAAGAAGGCTCTGCGGAAAGAAAATAACCAGTAGCAACATGAATGGACTGAGTCACAGTGGAGAGGAGTACACATTTGGAAGATCTGAAGGACCATGTCAGGGAGCAATCACTATAGAGAAAATCTATGTGGTTGCTAAGTGTCAACAATAATTTGCTGATACATAATGAATTAGTCAACAGAATCTTCTTATACTTATGGAAATTAGGGAGATTGTCTCAGTCACCTGTGATGCTTTACGCTTATTCTGAACTTACATTCTTCTCCTAGCTGCTTTAGTAATGAATTTCACCTATCTCTGATAGCCAAACTATGAATCGACCAAGTCAAATGCTGGGCTTGTTTTTCCTTGGTTTAAAGTAGCCAATTATCACACAAGGTGGGAAATTGCAATCTATTATTCTGTACAGTGCAAAGAGATGTGCTGTTGGCACTACTCACAAATCAAGAACCCCCAATACAAAAGTTAGCATAGCATATACTTTTGGAAAACAAGAGTGTCTGATCATTTGAAAGCAATAGGCAAAAAGCAACAAAGTATTCACAATCCTGTAGAGCAGGGGGTGCCAAACTCGATTTAATTGAGGGCCACATCAGGGTTGTGTTTGACCTGGGCAGGGGGCAGGTTGCACATGGCCAGGGTGGGCGTGGTCAGTTCGACATCACTCGTGTCAGGGGCGCCTATGATAGCCTGAGAATTCTGCCAGGGAAAATGGGCTCCTGAGCTCCATTTTTGGCTGCGATGGCCTCCTGCAACCGTCTGCCAGCAAAAACGGAGCTTGTCAAGCTCTGATTTTGCTGGCAGACGCACTGCGGGCCAATCCTTCACTGTTTCCAGAGCAGCCCTGCAGGCCAGATCCAGCCCCTTGAGTTTGACACCCCTGCTGTAGAGAATGGCCCTGTCAAAAGATTGGTTCATTACTATATTATAGCCCTCATCCTCTGTCCCTAACTAATAAGTTTGATAATTAAGTATGCAAATATTTCTAGCTAATTTATCTGCAATAAAAAAGGGCAGTTAACTCATTCTAACTAATCTGTTTACAATAGGAAGAGGATTGATCAGCCTTGTTTCCACTGATACTCTACTTTAGGATGGTACATATTCTTTGATAAGGCTGTTTTGTAGCCTTTCAGGTATTTTAGGACCAGGATGTGAAGACCAAAAATGAGAGGTGGCAAAGACAGAAACATGAATGTTTTTCAGCAAAATGGGGTTTCTGTAGCTGAAGTAGCTATACCAGTCCAACATTTCTGCAAATTCATCTGTATCTTTAAGATTGTCTAGAAAAACAGAAATCCATATTCTAAATACCAAATTTAAGGTTATTAACTAGCTTCATTTAACCAAACCAATAGAAAAAAACCTGGTAAGATAACAATACAGAATTTAGGTATGCCTGTTTACTAACAGGTTTCAATCACGGACAACCACGAGTACATTGTGATTGTCCATACAGTAATTAGCTACATTGGCGGTAAGCAACGCACTTCATAAGTTGCAAGTACAGTAACATTAGGATTCAATACTGAGAAAGCAGATTATTATGTCCTCAATTACTCCGTTGCTAAATACCATGATGTAAAAATGAGAAAGTTCTGCTCTTCTTTTATTGAAATTTTAAATAGAGGTCAGTAAAACTCCCGATGGAGCTCCTAGGATAGGATAGGATAGGATTGAACAGAACAAAACAGAACAGAACAGAACAGAATAGAATAGAATTTTTTATTGGCCAAGTGTAATTGGACACACAAGGAATTTGTCTTGGTGCATATGCTCTCAGTGTACATAAAAGAAAAGATAAGTTCATCAAGAATCATAAGGTACAACACTTAACGATAGTCATAGGGTACAAATAAACAATCAGGAAATAATATCTATAAATAGTAAGGATACAAGCAACAAAGTTACAATCATACAGTCATAAGTGGAAGGAGATGGGTAATTGGAACGATTAGAAGATTAATAGTAGTGCAGACTTAGTAAATAGTTTGACAGTGTTGAGGGAATTATTTGTTTAGCGGAGTGATGGCGTTCGGGAAAAAACTGTCCTTGTGTCTAGTTCTGTATGCAGTGCTCTATAGCGTCGTTTTGAGGGTAGGAGTTGAAACAGTTTATGTCCAGGATGCGAGGGGTCTGTACACAACCCTCTTTTTGACTCGTGCAAATATACAAATCTTCAATGGAAGGCAGGTTGGTAGCAATTGTTAAAGATCCTACAAGGATCTTTAACTGATTACCCTTCCCAGTTAAGCGCTTCAAAGGGAACAGATTTTAATATCAATGGTTTTCTTTTAATCATTTTTGCTCAGCCATTGGGATCTTTTTTCCCCCGGTTAAGATTTATGCTCAGAAGCAGGATATCGGCGCCGACGCCTTGGACCCTACACATCGGGCATCTCAACACCCGGAGTAAAAACAATCACAAACTTTAGGGAGAAGAAAAAAGAGGCGGAGTTTCATTAAGCGTCGGTAGCCAATGACCGCTCTTCCTCCTTCCTGGATCCTACGGAGAGGCAAGATGGCTGCCTCCAGCCCGAGCCGGTGTCTTTTTCCTGCAGCAACAGCGCTCCAGCTTCTTCTTTTCTTCAGCCGCTGCAGTTCGGCGGTCGGTCACGGAGCGCAGGTACGCCGGGAAGGGCAAAGAGGACGGCGGGCTGCGCGCCTTTATTTCTCCCTTGCTTTTGTTTTGTTTTTCTTTTCCTACCGTGGGGTGGATTTGAAACCCAGGACTTGAATTTCCGTTTCCGTGGGCTGGTCTTGGTTGCATTGAGCAAATGCAACCAAGGGGGCTCAAGGGCGACCGCCTTAAAAAAAAAAAAAAAAAAAAAAACCGGACCGGAGACTTTTAAAATCTAGCTGTCTATCGCTTTGCAATTAAATGCGGTGTTGCAAATGTCTATCAGGAGTGCACCAGCGCTGGACTCTGCCTTCTCTCCTCCGGGCTGTCATTGCAATCCTGGAAGGCGAGAGAGGAGGGGTGGGCCGGCCTGGCTTCTCAAGGGGTCGCTCAGGTCGGATGGCCGACCGCCCCCTGACGGCTTTTGGCGGGGACTCAGCTGCTGCTGCTGCTGCTTTCTGCCTTTGCTCCTTTTTCCCCAGGAAATTCAAAACCCCTGGGATGATTTCACCACAAGCACACCAGAAGCAGTTAGAATGGTCAAGCATCCCTAGAAATAGAATTATAAATGGCTCCATATTAGGGTGATATGGGGATTAGGGTCACTGGGTGTTGTACCCTGTGATTCTTGACGAGTGTATCTTGTCTTTTTATGTATACTGAGAGCATATGCACCAAAGACAAATTCCTTGTGTGTCCACAACACTTGGCCAATAAAGAATTCTATTCTATTCTATTTTAGTTTTATCTTAATATATTATCTCCTACATTGTATTGCCCCCCCACACACACGTAGTCTTCAACTTAGAACCACAATGGAACCCAAAATTTCTGTTGCTAAGTGAAACATATTTTAAGTGACTTTTGCCCCATTTTACGTCCTTTCTTGCCACAGTTGTTAAGTGAATCATGGCAGTTGTTAAATTGGCAACATGGTTGTTAAGTGAATCTGACTTCACCTGTCAGAAGGTAGCAAAAGGGAATCACATGATCCCGGGACACTGCAACCGTCATAAATATGAGTTGGTTGCCAAGCATCAAATATTTGATCACGTGACTATGGGGATGCTGCAGTGGTCGTAAGTGTGAAAAATGGTCATAAGTTACTTTTTTCAGTGCTACTGTACCTTTGAACAGCCATTAAATAAACTTGTAAGTCAAGGACTATGTATATGTAATAAATTATTTACATATAATACATATACATATGATATAATAAATATATAATAAAATAAATTATCCCAGCTGTTGTCTTTTGTGGAGCTTAGCCAGCAATCCTTCTAGTGGGCTGAGGGAAGTGAACGAAAAATGGTAGCTTGCTGGCACATAACCCCCATTTCCTGTTTTTATATATATATATATATATATGAGAAGAGAAGGAATGGTTAGGAAAGAAAACGTTTAAATAATAATTGAGCTTTGTAAAGGAAGGAAGCGGCAAAGACAGGCCAGGTATTTATTTATTTTAATTTATTTATTTGCATCCAGCCTGAGATTGTGTGTGACTGGCCCAAAGTTACCCAGCTGGCTTTTTTTAATTACATAATTTAACAGTGTATTATCTGTTTTCATGTTCATCAGTACATCACTATTACAGGTAGAACTTGACTTACAACCATTCATGTAGGGATCATTCAAAGTTACAACAGCACTGAAAAAAGTGACTTATGATTGTTTTCAACACTTACGATCATTGCAGCATCCCCATGGTCATGTGATCAAAACTCAGATGTTTGGCAACTGACTCATATTTATGATGGTTGCAATGTCCTGGGTTCACGTGATCATTTTTCGTTACTTTCAGACAAGCAAAGTCAGTGGGGAAGACAGATTCAGTTAACAACCATGTTACTAACTTAACTGCAGTGATTCACTTAACTGTGGCAAGAAAGATCATAAAATGGGACAAAACTCACTTAGTAACTGTCTTGTTTAAGAACAGAAATTTTGGGCTCACATCAAGGGCTATCTGTATACTTTGGATTCCATGGATTTGAATTATCTAGGACTTTTCTACTTCAACTTTGCTATAATTTCCCCAGTTTTCATTCATATACATTAGTGGCAATAATACAGGAAAAAAGGCCTCAGTGTGAATGGAGAGAAAGAGATACAACCTCCCACCCCTTGTTTTCTCAAGGGTATCCTAGGAGGCAGGATCTTGGTCTTTTCCTCCAACATCATCACTTATATCCCATTTTTCATTCAAATGCTCAAGGTGGCATACATAATGCTGTCTTCCTGTTTGGCTTTTTTTTTTTTAATAACAAGAAACCTTGAGGTGGGATGCATTGAGAGACCTGACTGTCTCCAGTTAGCTTCCAAAGTTGAAAGTACAATGTAGTAGAAGCTCCATTTCACATTCTTTATCCAGCATCTTTTAATCACTACTCCTCACCAATTCATTGACTGTTCTCATTGTGGGAATCTGTCTACAATTCCAGAAGTAATGCTGCAAAACTGTTTTTGCAGTGTTTTCTCTGTGGGAATAGCTGAATAGGAATCAGATTATGCAGCACTTTGTATTCTAATGCAGAAAGATACTTTGGAATGTGTGAGGGTACAAATATATGCAATGAACCAAATGTGTTTTCTCTGGGATCATAGGAAAACTACTGGGGGTACCCTGCAATCCTGAGAAAAGATTATGCTGCTTTAAAAAGTTGGAAACAAGTACTCTTTTTAAATTCCAAATCACTACTTGGCCTTCAGATCTAAAATGCTGCAAAACTTTAACCAGTAGGAGTTCTGGTGGTGGTGCCGGCAGTTCCTGGGGGGCCAAGAATGGCCCGTGTAACGCCACTGCTCCATGAGCTGCATTGACTGCCAGTTTGCTTCCAGGTGCAATTCAAGGTATTGATAATTACCTTTAAAGCCCTTCATGGTATGTGTCTGGGCCTATTGCACGACTGTCTCATTCCACTGGGATTGGCCAGCAAAGGAGGCATGTTGCGGGCCTATTACCCTTATTATTCCAGCTGGCATGATCCAGGAGAAAGACCTTCTCTGCCGTTTATTTGCCCTATGGAACATCTTGCCCCCCCCCCTCCGGTGTGAGGTTCACCCCAACCCTTCTGACATTCTGGAAGAGCCTAAGACTTGGCTCTTCCAGTTAACTTGGGGCTTCAATGGGGGAGTATCACAGTGGAGGCGGTTGATCAATTAACAATGGATCTCACCTTGCCCCCATCCTGTTCCCTTTTAATTGGGCGAGTTCTGGATTTTATACTAATTTGTGCTGTTAGTTTGTATAGTTTTTATTTTTACGATTGTAAGTTGCCAAGAGTTATCTTGAGGTAAGATGGGCTGCATATAAATTTTATAAATATATAAACAATTCTTTCAAGTAGAAATTAATTAGGCAACTATCTCAAGCAAAACCCTGGAGTTAGGGTGATGGAGTAGCAGTGCCAGTTTCAGTTTTGTATATTTCTTGTAAGCCATTAAAAAGCGAAAGTTAGAATATTTTGAACATGTGATGTGACACCCAGAAAAATACGGCATCCTTCACTTGATCCTCCAGGGAAAGATTGAAGGCAAATGAGGTGCAAGTATATGAACATCATGGCTTCAAAACCTAAGGGACTGGTTTGGACAAAACTCAGCAGCACTTTTTCATGCGGCTGTTGACAAAAATAGGATTGCCAACATGATCGCCAATGTCCGATGATGGATATGGCACAACAAGAAGAATATCTCTTGTGCATGATTTCAATGTTTTCTTATATTCTAGGTCTCCCCTCCCCCCATTGTCATTTTGCTCCTGGAGAATTGGGCCAAGTCTCTTCCCATTTCCCAAAACATTATGTGTACATGACAATGTAAAAAGAATGTTGAATTTGGATGCCATGGTGGTGCAGTGGTTAGAATGCAGTACTGCTGGCTACTTCTGCTGACTGCCAGCTGCCAGCAGTTCGGCAGTCCAATCCTGACGGGCTCAAGGTTGATAAAATGAACACCCAGATAGTTGGGGACCATATGCTGAGTCTCTAAACTGTTTAGAGACAGCTGTAAAGCACTGTGAAGTGGCACATAAGTCTAAGTGCTATTTCTATTTTCAAGTTGTTCTGGATTTGATTCAGAAGTCATGCATTCATGCATTTTGTTTCCAATAAAAGCTGGCTGGATCTCTCGAGAAAACCAACAGGAACTTGGGGTAATAGAGCAATGATCTATTTGTTGGTCTTTTCAGTTGGAAGAGGGAGGATTTGCTTGGCTTTCATGGTTGTAGCCTTTAGCAGATTTATTTATTTAGATTTGTTAAGGCTGTTTAATTGATTTATGTTTTCTTGAAATAATGATTTTAAAAAGAATGACTAAACATGTACTTGCTTTGTTTTATGTCACATCAGTCAGCTTGTTTCAACAATTCTGTAACAAGGATGGGAAGGGATTGAATACATAGATTACAAAACAAGCTGGATAATTACATAAAATAGTATTCATTAGACTGGTAGTTTCAATTTATTTGTCACACTGCTGTGATGATAATCCATTTGCCCAAGCTCTGGAGATTTAAAAAACAAAACCTGGCATTTTTTCAGGTCAACTAAATTAATGTTTCCCCGAAGAGTTCTATTTAGACATTTAAACTGTGTGTCAGAAAAAAAAAACAGACTATAAAGCAAATTATGGCTAAGTGGCCAGAGTTAGGAGTTATGTGGTATTTTCTCCAAATGACCTAGAATTGACATTGAACATCTGTTGAACATTAGAGAAATTTTAAGACTGCAATTAAATACAAGCTTTAAATAATTGAAACGAACTTTTTCCAATTGCATAGCAGAGAACAGTCTTATTATTTTCAGTGATGCTCAAATCAGATTGAACAGACATTAATCAACCCAATCTTGAAACATTTATATGGCTGAAAAACAGTTCAAGAACAAAAAAATCAAAGAAAAAAACAACCCATAATACTGTGATAAACTATATTTTGAAAACAGAATGCATTTCTTGCTGATTTAGTTCTTATTTGTTCTAAAAGGCAAAGATTGACTAATCTCGAATCAAGCAGGGACAGAAAATTGAACTAATAATTCAATAAATTAATTGTGATAGTAAATCTATTTGAGATATTATGAGTTCCAGGACATAAAATTGCCACTTTGGATTTCGGTATCGCAAATGTAAATATTTTTTTAGTATCCAGATTCTTGCACCATGGGAAAATTGTGCATTAAGTGTTCCAGTTAACTGATTGGCCAACTTTCAATTTCAGTGATTGATAATGGCTAGTCTAACTAAATCTTTCACATTGAGTTAATGATTTTTTTAAAAAAAAAACTTAGCTAAGACTAACTCAAAATTGAAGGCTGATTTGAGATAAAGAAATAAGGATCAAGTTATCAGCAAAAAGGAAAATAATTTATTTCTCTCACATAATTTAGCTCAAAAAAAATCACACAGAAATGTAGCATTGTTGACAAAGAGGTTAAAAATATAGAGTCAGGTCATAATTTTTCTTTAGCCCCTAAGAAACTGGGATGTTATCAAATAGATGACATTCGGGGAAATCTCACATCACTGTTTGAGTTCTTATGCAGAGATTGCAACAAGGATAGCATGGTTTAAGATTGGTAATCAACTAGGAATATTTTATTAATTTTTAATTCTGTTTTTCAAGAGAATAAACACAGAATATTTATTACAAACATTCATCATAAGCTTAGCATAATTTTAAAAAGTCCCTGTTACAATTGTGGATTTCTACTGCCATATTTTACAGCATTCTTGAGTACAGTACATTATTCTTGAGAAAGAATGAAAAAATATTTTATTGTGAGGTATTTGCAGATCATATATTATGGGATTAATTTCTTTATGATCATTTGAGTGTTTTGGCTGAGTGGCATTTGATAGTGGGGCAGGACGCTGTCAAGACTTGTCAGACTTCATACATTTATTTTAATCTGAATGACAAGCTTCTGTTCTGTTAAAGGACGAATCCATCCAATCTAGATTGTTTGTTTTTAGAGGATTCAAGGAGAAAAATGTCTGATCAATTGGATCAATCTGGCTTAATTCACATTTTCCTGGTTTTCCAAATTTGATTCATTGAGGCTAATTTCTGCAATTCCTGTGGTAAAATGAAGTATGTTTTCGTTTGGAATAAGTGATTTTTTTTTAAAAAAAATATAGTTTTGTTTGTGGTGTGAAGACTTCAATAAATAAAATTGTGAAATAGCATTAAGGAATTGTAATTTTTTTTATATTGCAAGTATTTGCAGTACTGAAATCAAAGTTAAATTTTACTAACTGGGATGTCTGGGTCTTCTTAAGCATTCCTTATGATTTTCTGCTTTTGTTTTGTTCTTTTTTTCCTCTTTGGTTGCCATCTTTGATCAAGTTTCAAGACGATGGAGAGAATTCTTTGTTGTTCTTTGATATGATTCATGAAAGGCTTTTTATACATGCAGTGCTACCAGAATAAAGATTTCTTTAAAGCAAAGCAAACTTATATGGAGAAAAAGTTCTTCTAAAAAGGGAGTAATATTTTGGAGTAAACATACACAGGATTGTTCTGTACAATTTCATAAATATATCAACTGGTATGATGCTTATACTAATTAACGTTTTCCAATAAAGTAAAAAATAACTTTTGATTTGATAAAAACATATTTAAAATATTTATGGAATTTGTGTTTGTGTGCATGTGATGCTATTTTATTTATTTGTATAATTTCTATATTTTCTCTTCAGGATCAAGCAGAACAATTTTTTAGAAGTGGTCATACAAACAACTGGGCCGTTCTGGTAAGATAACCCAGCCTAATTGAACCTAAACAAATTAATCTAAACAAATCTATGGGAATATATCAAATGGTACCACTGTAAAGAAAAGATTGCTTGCCTCCACAGTGATAAAATTGCTTTTCATGCAAAGATAGTGGATTGGGACAAAGTGGGCAAAGATAGTGGATTGGATCTGATAATAATATAAATATGATAATATAAATATAAAAATAATTCTACTTAAATACATGTAAAGCATTAGCTATCACCAATGCTTTTTTTTTTAAAAAAATGAAACTTTTCCAGAAGTTTTTCAGAAAAAAATAGCGAACATACTCACTTTGACCATGATTTATTAATTTACTAATGCTGTATATTGTAGGAAGTATATAGAGTAGGGAGGTCTTTGAAGATTATACTGGAGGCATTAGTCTTCAGTTGAGAGAGAACAGCTCTGCAGTTTGACAGAATTCATCCTTAGTGAAATTTCCAAATAAGCTGTAGCTCAGTGGCCCATTTATTTCTGCACAGTCATGTTGTTGCATTATAGCTGCAGAATTTATTCTTATCCCCTCCCTCCCTCCGTGTGTGTGTGTGTGTGTACACACATATACACATACATACGTACGCTCATATATATTTGTCTCTTAATGTGTTTAGGTGTGCACATCTCGATTCTGGTTTAACTATCGCCATGTGGCCAATACTCTCTCAGTTTACAGAAGTGTCAAGAGACTTGGAATTCCTGATAGGTAAGAAGAACTTTCTAAAATGGTATCAAGTACAAATAAGGTAGGTTACTCTGCTAAGGGGATCCCACGCTTGTTTTAGTCTTCCATTCTTTTTTTATATCTATGCATTTTCATTAGACAGGTTCTAAAAGGAAATATATATATATATATATATATAAAGAATGACGTTGAAATATCCTGGATGTTATAGATTTCCAAAATACTATTAATTATTTGTAAATAATTCAGAATATTCAAATCAAATATCTTTATTATAGGGTTCGATCAACTTTTTAGAATATTATATATTATAACCTTCTAAAATATTAAGAATTACTAGTAAACCTTGAGCTGAAAGTGGGTATCCAGTACCATAGTAATGGTCACATTATAGGTCACATTTTTGCCATCTCTATTTTCTTGTGCTTTTTTTGGAATTTTTTAGAAAAGATGTGCTTTTTTAAACAATTTGTAAACTGCCCTTAGTTGTTGGAAGTCAGGTGGCATATACATATAATAATTATGATTATGGTTCATTGCATAGTTAACCAGATTATTATGATGATCTGAAATATATGCAATCCATATTACTATGAATTTGTTGAAATTTAAGTATCCTGTGAAATTAAAATGTAGACCCTGCATAGAGAAACTAAAATTTTGCACGTGATACATTTATTAAGTCATAGCCAAGGTCTGGTTTGCAGTTTAAGTTGACTTCTTCAGCACGTTTTATTTTTAAAGTATGAGGTTATTTTACATGAAAATGTGCTCCCACGACATGAGTAGCTATTATTCTATGGAGGACTTTTCTATTGAACATACATAGGTGTAGAAAGTTAACACCCATCCTTCTCCTAGAACAGTGATGGCTAACCTTTTTGCCATTGCGTGCCAAGAGGGGGGGCAGGGGAGGTTTGCTCGTGTGTGTGTGCCCACACCCATAATTCTATGCACCCAGCCCTGCGCATGTGCGTGCAACCCCCCCTCCCCCTGCTCCTGGCATGCGATGGCCCGGTAGGCCTGTTTTTCTTTCTCACCTGGCTCCAGATCCTCTCTGTGCATCTGGGGAGGGCGAAAACAGCCTTTCCCACTCCCTCAGAGGCCCTCTGGAGGCCTGAAATGGCCCATTTCCCAACTCCTGGTGGGACAGGAAGTGCCGTTTTTTGCTGTCCTCAGCCTCCAGAGACTCCTAGAGAGGTGAGCCATGTGAGAAAGAAAAATGAGCCTTCCCCATCGAACCCAGGCCCTCTGGAGGCAGGAAACAGCCTGTTTCCCTACTTCTGGTGGGCCCATAAGGCCAGAAAATCAGCTGACGTGCACCAGAGCTAAGCTGGCATGCCCACTGATATGGCTATGTGTGCCACCTGTGGCACACGTGCCATAGGTTCGCCATCACGGTCCTAGAAGAATGAAATATTCTAGGAAATATTAAAAAGGCAGAATATTATACCTCCCTGGATGAGAAAAGGAGAAACATACTCTTGGAAAGCAGCCCCCACCTTTGTTAATAGACCCAGAAAGACTGGTGCCAACCTATCTACAAGACAAAAAACTGAGCCAGTCTATCTACAAAACAAAAGACCTTAACCCTCAGGACATGATAGGATTAGCCCTCACTCAAGATTCAAACCAGGGCAAAGCCATTAAGCCATAATAGGAATTGCCCAAGCCCCTTCATTACATCACCCAGCAAGATTCAACCAAACCTGGGACACAGACTGCCTACAAGTTTAGCTGACAATTATAAAAAGTCTAATCTAACATTGCAGGTATTAGCAGAGAAATGTGTTCATAGACATATATTTAACTATTGGTTTGAATGAGAGAAGAAGATTATATACTTTAAAAAAAATGGAAATACACAATTTCTAACACAAGTATATGCAGAAGAATTATGTGATTAATATTCTAAACTGGAAAATTCATCACAATTTGTCATTGTTTTTCATAGCCTGAAAAATAGGTTTATGATGAAGAATTATGAATTCAGGTGACTCAAAAATGTAAATGTGACCATGTTGCATAGACATTTTTGCAAACTGAAAAGATGGGATATAAACACAGTGACCATTACTTCTTGGAAAAAAATAAAGGACAAATCTAGAAAAGGAACAAATCTGAAATACGTTCATAAGGATAAAAAAACCTGTTTATAACTTTGCTGTACAATAGATAAGATTGTTTCTTTACAAAGGAAAGTTCAGGAGCAAAATCAAGAAAGCAATTAATTAATCCAAAGGACAGCTTTCTGAATAAAGAACTATAATAAAGGATGTATATTCAATCTACAAGTGTCTATGGAGATTTTCCTACTTGACGTTCAGCCACTCCTCAGTCTGGGTTACGATCACTCCTATTTGCACAGCTGAGTGTCAATCAAATCCCTCTGGAGCTGCATCCTCCTCTCTTCCTGCTTCCTCCTCAGACTTTTTCACTCAGCCATTGCAATAGCATCGAGTGTCTGTCTTTCAGTTTAAATTTATTCTTTATTTTACTTTTCCCTTTAGTAATTTGGTTTAATATCCTTCATTTATTACTGGAAAGTGCTGCGCTTCGACTGCCTTCACCTGGTGAGGTTTAAAGCGCATATCGGCGGTTCGGGGCTCCAGCCGCCGCTAGCGGCTTGGTTTGACTGGCGGTTTATTTCTAATTCATTGTTACCGCCATTTGCCGCCATTTGCAGCCATTTTGTTAACAGTCACTGTGCGAGGCTGTGGATTGATTTAGCGGCCATCGAATATATCGGCTTGAGTCCCTGCCGGCTGGCATACTCATTAGCCGTTTTGGGAGATTGTGACTGCTCCGTTCAGCTGCAGCCTCAGTCCGGCCGTAGGCGCTGTGTTTCGCCTGGCTTAGGACTCGTGGAAATTCGCCTCGCGGGCCGCCATTTTGGGCCCTGACCATCGCCGCTGTTTTTGGCTGCTCCGAGGGCAGTCACTCATGTCATGGTTGTCCCAAAGGTGCTTTTTCAAGAGGCAACTGGACTTTCTTTTTGTTATTCCTTGAAGTCGTTTCGCTTCTCATCCAAGAAGGTTCTTCAGAGAGGACTGTTTAATTTTAAGTTTTTCTAATGTTAAAATTAATCTAATCAGATAGACTGCTGAATCTTGTCTTGATGGGTTTGTTCTCCTATGTTATGCCTTGTGTTTATGAAGTGCTTGTTTTTTTTTGAAAAACAAAAACAAGCATGTAACATTGGAGACACAAAAACTAGCATGTAACATTGGAGAAACAAAACAAACACTTTCTAAACACATGGCATAACATAACATGGGAGAACAAACCCATCAGGACAAGATTCAGTGGTCTATCTCCATTTGAAAGACAAAGTTTACTCTTTTGAAGATAGCATGGACAGAGAGCAGCTCTGGTTTGAAAGAAGGGTCAAAGAGAGCATCAACATTAAAACTGAACAATCCTCTTCTCAACAAATGGGAAGGTTTATGACACTTATCTCCTGTGTACAACAGCAATTCCAAAAAGATTCCACACCCATTTGCAGTATTCAGGTGATCCTGTGAGTACAGATAAACCTCCAAGTGGCCTCAGCGACTCTCAAAACAAATGCTAATGAATGCAAGGAATTTGAATCCTTCCATTCCCCACTATTCAGTCAGAACTGAAGAATCTTCTTGGATGAGAATTGTAACATCATCAAGGAAAAACAAAGGAAGTCCAGTTGCCTTTTGAAAAAGCACCTTTGGGACATTTAGATCCAAATCAATTAAAGAAACGCCCAGAATTAATAAAGACAGTATAGCCAAAAAGATCTTCCAGGTTTGATAGCATGCTTCAAAAATTGTCTGAGAACAGAAGAGAGATTTTTTTTTTTTCCAGGGGCATAAATATGAGATGGATTCCCAAGTTTAACTAAATTGTCAAACATATTGTAAGTGTCACTATCCAATACTGCTCCTTAATTAGGGGTGCTAAAGACTGAACCCGGTACTTTCTGCATAAGTTAGATCTGCCAACTGGCCATGGTTAAAACATTGATGAAGAAACCTGATGAGTACAATGAGAGAAAAAAACCCAGATTGATTTGTAGGATGAGCCATCCACCTATTCTTGTTTTGAAGTATTATTGAGTTTCGTAAATTGCATGGAATTGAATTCATGTGCAAATACAGTAACGTTAGCCTTCTTAACTTTTAAAAGCTATTTCTTCATTCTGTGTGAAGTTTTGGCTTAGTCACAGAATGCCTTGCATAGAAAAGAGGATTAAAGCTATTAAACAACCTTTCAAAGTTAGCAGACTATGTATGTTTATTGAGGCTTTGTGTTGCTACTGCACTCACATTGTGTATTCAAATCCATTTATTTTCTTCCCAATCAGCCATATAGTCTTAATGCTAGCAGATGATATGGCCTGCAATCCAAGAAATCCGGCTCCAGCCACTGTGTTTAGTCACAAAAACATGGAACTGAATGTCTATGGAGATGACGTGGAAGTGGATTACAGAAATTATGAGGTTAATTCTTAAATATATTCCATATTAAAATGTAGAAAAGGTAATGAGGAAGGAGATAACATTTAAGTCAATTGATCTGATGAGAACTTGCAACTTCTTGGGCCTCAGAGATGTTCTTCAGCACATTCAAAATGATGTATGAGTTTTAGAACTTCATATGCTCTGGTATCAAAATCTTTAGCCTACCAAATCTAGTCAAATCATTGTTTAATCAGTGGGATATATCAATACCTGAAAATTGATATATTTTTCCCTTGATTAATAGTTGAACATAGTGATGATCCTACCTAAACCTTTTAAAGCAGGTATCAAAGACAAACCACAAAACTCAGAATTGTATAGTGTAAAGTGTAATTGTATAGTGTAAAGACTAAAGGTGTTAAATGGATTATTCTTGTTAGTTGTGAGCTGGAAAGTACAGATGTGGTCACATGATCTCCCACTTAGCAACCACTTTGCTTAAAGACAAACCTGCCAGTCCCAATTCCTGCTAAATGAGGACTACAGTACCAGTACAGGAGTTGAGATTTTGAGCACTCAACTCAAAAAAGTACTCAGAAAACTAGTATGGTTTTCTGAGTACTTTTGGAACTTTAGAAAATTATTTTCAGAGCTAGTAGGTGTGAGGTTTGAGAGTTCATAGTACCGTGTTTCCCCGAAAATAAGACCCTGTCTTATATTTTTTTGAACCCTGAAATAAGCGCTTGGCCTTATTTTCGAGGAGGTCTTATTATTTTGGGGCGCGTGGAGCAAGATGGGGCTCTTCTTGCCATTTTACCTGATTTCCAGCTCTGTCTCCCTAACCCTAACCAGAGGAAATGGCAGGGACCGGCTGTGCATGTGGTAAAATAGTTTTCGGGAGCGCTTATTTTCGGGGGGGGGGTTATTTTCCGGGGAGGGGGCTTATTTTAGCGCAGCCACTCAAAAGCCCAATTGGGCTGCTTATCCGGAGAGGTCTTGTTTTCCGGGAAACAAGGTAGGACTTTTTTTTTTTTTGCTGGGCAGATGTATAATTTATGATCAAATATTTTTAATCACTGGAATGTTGTGTTCCATAATTGTCATGCAGAATTTAAAGCTTTAAAATATGATTATGATCATTTTTCCATGGCAACACATAGTTGTGTTGATGGTAAGAAAATGTTGACATTGTTCCCAGAGATAAAATCATAAAGTTTGACAGGTGTTCAAAGCACTGAATGTATATTATGGAGGCTGAAATATGTCGACTTAACCTGAGCTAATAATACATTAGTGAGCTGTAATATGCAGTAGTGTATATTTTGTTGGACAATTCATTTGAAAATAATGCCTGTAAGATTAAATGCAAACAGGATGCTGTCTCGTTTAGGTTACTGTGGAAAATTTTTTGAGAGTGTTAACAGGACGAATCCCAGCAAGTGCGCCTCGTTCCAAACGTTTGCTTTCTGATGACAGAAGCAATATTCTCATATATATGACAGGTAATTGTATTTTCTTTGTCATTTCCTATAGTAGTAGTAGTAGTAACAATAACAACAACAATAATAATAATCAATAATAATAATCAAAATCGCACAAACTGATTACAAAGCTAGACATGACCAAGTTGCTAAATTAATCCACTGGTCATTATGTAAAAAATACAACTTACATGTATCCAAAAAGTCATGGGAACATAAAGTGGAAAAAGTTATAGAAAATGAGAAGGTGAAGATCTTGTGGGACGTTCAAATACAGACGGATCATCACTTGGAACACAACACACCAGATATCACAGTTGTCGAAAACTGAAACATACAATTTATTGACATCGCGGTACCAGGAGATGCCAGAGTCAAACAAAAAGAACTGGAAAAAATCATGAAATATCGTGACCTGGCCATCTAAACTACATGGCTATGGATGAAACATGTAACAGTGATACCCATTGTCATCGGGGCACTTGGTACCATGTCCAAGAATTTTATAACATACATCAGCAAATTGCAGCTTCCTGCAATAACACCAGCGGAACTGCAAAAAAACCGCTACTTGGAACATCATACATCTTAAGAAGGTACTTGGTTGATACTAGAATGCTGGCAGCAACCCGTATCAACCACTAGCACTGGTCAATGTATTCGTGATGCATTTTTGAATGTTCAGTTGACTTGAGTTTCATATTTAATGAATAAAGATGATAATAATAATAATAACAACAACAACAACAACAACAACAACAACAACAACAACAACTTGCAAATTGAAGTTGAGCGACTGTGGAAAAAGAAATGGTGTGTTGTCCCGATTGTAATTGGAGCCCTTGGAGCAATACCCAAAGGGCTACCCCGCTATTTAGAAATTCTAAATTTGCCGGACTTGAACATTTTGACTCTACAAAAAAAACAACCTTACTTGGAACAGCTTACATCCTCCGACGATACCTTAACAGTTCTTAGGTCCTTGGTTAGGACTCGAGCTGTTGAGCTATTAACCAGCCTCAAAGGCTGTGAATCTCACTAAAGATTAAATAATAATAATAATAATAATAATAATAATAATAATAATAATAATAATAAGAAAACACCTCCACAGCCTTGACAGTTGGACTAATTTGTTCTGCTTTGAGACTGCATATTTCCTTTGTAGCTTACTCTTTGGTACAATTACAAGTAGTTCTCAGTTGAGAACCGTTTGTTTACTGACCATTCAAAGTTACAATGGCACTTGAAAAAGTGACTTATAACAGTTTTTCATACTTATGACCGTTGTATCATCCTCGTGGTCACGTGATAATTGCTTGGCCACTGGAATGTATTTATGATGGTTGTAATGAGCACATTTTCTGACCTTCTGACAAGCAAAGTCAATAGGGAAAGCCAGATTCACTTAACCACCATGTTACTAATTTAACAACTGTAATGATTCGCTTAACAATGGTGGCAAGAAAAGTTGTAAAATGGGGCAAAATTCACTTAATAACTATCTTGCTTAGCAATGGAAATTTTGGGCTCAATTGTGGTCATAAATCAAGGACTACCTGTATTAGAATGACTAAAGGCATGTCTGTATCAGGAAAATTGAAACTAGATGTCTCTTGTGAATTCAAGCTATGAAATGTATATGTATATTGAGGCATTGAAAAACCAGTGCTAATCTATCTAATCCCTGAAATATAATTAACATTTATGCCTGCAATTGATCTTGAACCCTTGAATAGTGAATTAAATACAGAATGGGTTCAACTTTTGAGAGTCTCAGATATCTAGAGTAAGTTGTCTTGGAAATGTTTGTTTGATTGTATGTGTGGAGTATCTTAGTTTGATTGTATGGGTTGGATTTAGTTCTCAGAATCCTCAACAGTGGCCAATAAACTTTCAAACATTTCATAATCATCTAAAATGGCAATTTGCATCAGTTTGGAAAAGGCCAATGTAATTATTTTGCTGATTGATGCATCACACAGTGGACAGATCCACACTCTGTCCTAATTTTTGATTTATAGCTTACCAATGTTAGGGTAAGGGTTAAGTCACATATCATACTAGTTAAAAGCACAACTAATAATTTTATGGTTACTATGATATGTGATTCCCTCCAACTCTGAGCAGCATACGAAACATTACAATAAAGACCCAACAGAAATACAGAATTATATAATAAAAGTCTGGAAAAAAATCCAATAGTTACTCAAAAGACAAGCATATCCCTCAAAAGGGATAGGAGCCTGGATAGCTCAACAGGCAGAGCTCTGTAATTTAAGACCAGCTGTCTGCAATTAAAGTAAGATCGAATCCCGCCAGGCTCAAGGTTGACTCAGCCTTCCATCCTTTCTAAGGTAGGTAAATTGAGGACCCAGTTTGTGGGGGCAATAAGCTGACTTTGTATAAATATACAAAAGTATGAAGGCTATTGCTTAATGCATTGTAAGCCGCCCTGAGTCTCCGGAGAAGGGCGGCATATAAATCAAATTAAAAAAAAAAAAAAAGACCCATCGCCACTCTGACCCTGGAGATAGCCAGGTTTAGATGAGGTTTGTTTAAATAAGGTGAGAACTGTAGAAATCCCTGAGGGACTTGTGTTTATCTCACACTTGTCTTCTGTAGAAAAGCCTAATACAAGCCCTGTCCTTTACTAATATTCATTATAGGCAATGATTCAAGCACAGAAACATAGCCTTAGTAACTGTTTCCATCATTCTTTGTTCTCATGTTAAAATATATATATTGCAGTCATCAATATGTATATGGGTAAAACTAGGATTTTAAAATGCAGTCAGTGCAAGAACTGGTCTTCAGTTGCATGTTACACAAGCAAAAAACAACACATCGGTAGCTCCATCCCCACCCTCATTTAAAAACTCATTCCTATTCAGTCCTGGGATCTGCATGGTGAGATGGGCCAAAGAGATACTGAGATCCTTGGATTGTACGCGTTGCAAGTCAGTGGTTTATTCAGAAAATCATAATTTTTTAAAAATGTAGCCCAGCACATGTTTGAATATGGTGAATGTTTAAACACTCTGTTCAAGCACTGTAGGAATTGTTCTAACTTAGCTTGGAACTACAGTATATATTATTATTCTGGAAATCCGGATCTAAAAGAGAATTCAAGATGTGTGGCTGCATATATATTAGTAGTTGCAGTGACTCAGGGGAGGTTTGGAGGGATGTGGGTAATACAGACTTCTTAAATGTTAAATCTGAATTGATTGGGCTTCTCAGCTTGCTCAGGCTGAGTTCCAAAGGACAAAGCAATTGCTTACCCTTTTGTTTGCCTTGCTTCTTTCATCTGCTGCAATATAAGCTCCCTTGGTGGGCGAGAGCATATTTATGCATTGTTCTAGTTGGATGCCAACTGTTTTGTTTGAAGGTTTCAGAAAATATTTTTGAGAATATCCTGACTTTTTTTTTTCCACCAAGGTCATGGTGGGAATGGTTTCTTGAAATTTCAAGATTCGGAAGAAATCACGAATGTGGAACTCGCTGATGCCTTTGAACAAATGTGGCAGAAAAGGAGGTAATTTCTAACCCCTGCTTTCTAGTGTGCCTGCATTTTTCTGCCTCTTCTGATCTACCTAGAATGCATTTACAATTTTCATTTCATTTAGTACATGTATTTGCAACCATAGGTTTTAGCAAAAATTCATATACTATTACAGCAAGTCTTAACTGGTCAATTATTTGCCCCTACAATTAACAGCACTGTCAACATCTGTATTAACAGTGTTCACATTTTTATCTTTTATGATATTATGGATAATGTACCTCTAGCACCATGATGACGAACTCTATGGCACGCGTGCTGGAAGTGGCATGCAGAGCTATTTTTCCGGGCATGTGAGCTGTCGCCCAACTCACCTGCAGCTGCGCATGTGCGCACGCCCCAGCTGGAGGTCAGGCCTCCGGTGTGCAAGCATGCAATTCAAGGGACCCAGCTGGTCTTCGGAGCTCTCCTGTGCATTTGCATGCGTTTGTGCATGTGCATGAGAGTACTGATGCGCAGCATGAGCATGTGCAGACAGCATTCATGCATGTGCATTGCACGCATGGAAACCATGCGCATGCACACATGTTGTGATTGTGCACACAGTGCATGGTGGGGCGCACGTGCAAAAGCTGTGTGCATGCACAGATGGTGCAGTTGCACACACAGCGCATGGGGGAGGAGTCGTACATTAGCACAAGTGGCATGCGCGTGTATGAAGCGCATGAAGCACGGACCTGTTCGGCACTCTGTGAGTAAAAGGTTCGCCACCACTGCTCTAGCAGATTGTACAGCTAAGCATTAAGGTCCTCTATGCAACGCAAGTCATGAACCCACTGGGCTTTTGCAATGTCCTCTGTCCAGAAATGTCTGTCAAAGCTGGTGCTTGTTTTTGATTGGTTGGTTTGAAAATACGGGCTGATCTATTGGGTCATTTGCATCACTGATCTTTAAAATACCACCTGGCATCCAGGGTATAAGGATTAAATCTTAGATATTACAGCTATGCAAATATATTGAAAGAGTTACTTTGCTATGCAACTCAACTTACAAGTATGAGAGATTTCTACAAACCTATCCTAACTTATTGGAAGGATAAGTATATATTGGGGTTGCATGAACCCAACTATAGCAAGATCTATAGTTGAAGATCTAGCAAAATATATATGCAGATCTGTATAGATCAAAAAGTATGTGTAGTCTTGCATAATAGTTAATCAAAGGAAGTAGTAATCGAAAACCTTTGTTATTTTGGTTCTGAATGAGGAGACAGATCCTTTGCAAAAGGAAGCCTACACAAGACTTCAGGAGATTAAATATTGACATGGAGCTGCCTTAATGTAAGATTTTAGGGTTTTACTTTTGAATAAAACACACCTTGGATTGTGTATTTAATCACCAGTACTTTTTTTCTATGCAATGGTGATGAAACAGGATAGTTTATAAAGGTACATTATTGTCTGTTAATCCTGGCAAAAATCCTGGAGGCAAAATCTCCAGGAATACTTTATTTTAAAGTAGCATTTTGTTTACAAGGCTGGATGAAGTCACCGCAACTGATGGATAAAGGAAGACATAGCTAATCTCTTATATACTAGTAAGGGCTTTACTAGTAAGGGCCCAGCTGGCATATACAGGCATAAAGGATGCTTTTTTCCCCTTCTAGGTACAATGAATTGCTGTTTATCATTGATACATGCCAAGGAGCATCCATGTACGAACGGTTTTATTCTCCCAATATAATGGCTTTGGCTAGCAGCCAGGTTGGAGAAGATTCACTTTCTGTAAGTGTTATCATTTCATATGTTAACTATATATAGATAACAGTCACCAAGTGAAAATCTATCCTAGTTTGGTGGGTATCTACCTGTATAAGATTTAATAGGAATTTTGCTTCTGCTGGAAAATACTGCATTTATAATGGAACGAGAATTAATAATAGTGCTCTAAAGAAAAGCAAGATTTTAAAAAAAAATGAAATTATGACCCTACTTTAGGTTATTTACAACCTTCCAGGAAGTAATGAATTTCACAATCCTTTTTTGAGAACTTTGGTATATTTTATTGCATATTTTGGTGGGCTAAAAGCACTTCTACGGAACTATGACACTCTCAATGAAGGATAAATTTTGAACGATAAGAGAAGCAGGTAAAGGATTGCTGCCTTTCTCTTAGTGCAGGTTTGGTAGATTAAAATAGAAAGCTAGTGTTACAGCTCTATATAGTTCTTTTCCAGCACATTCATATACAGTATTTTGCTTGGCCTTATTTATTTGTGTTCCTTTCTGTACTACATAGTAGCTATTCATAGTTTGCGAGGTTAATCAGCTGTTGACAGAGGATGTAGATATAAGATTGTGTTGTTCGGTCTTCATTGCTAAACATTTATATATAGTAAATTTGGTATTTATAACAACATTCTCTTTTTGAAGCATCAACCAGATCTTGGCATTGGCGTCCATTTGATGGATAGATATACATTTTACGTCTTGGAATTTTTAGAAGAAATTAATCCAGCAAGCCAGACAAATATGAATGACCTGGTAAATACTTATTTAACTTGCTATTCATGAAACCACTACTGAAAAGCTGCGTGTTTTGTATAATTTTACATAATCCTTTTAACATCCTTTCCTATTTCTCCCACTGTCACTGTATTTCGTCAAGTTGGGAAAAAACATTTTTTTCTAGTTTTAAACCCCCAAAATGAGATTTGCTTTTTAAGGCTCAAGTTAGCCTTTAATCTAGGGCTTAAATCTACATTAGCTCATTAAAAAATAATCCTTTTACGCCATGGAATCTTAGTAGCAAAGCTATGTTTTTCATTACAACCACTGTACTTTGAAGTTTGAATTGTTTTTAGACTGTTGCATATAATGCTGTCTTTCAGCTCAATTATATTAAAAAGTTATATTATGCAAGATTCAGAACATTGCTAGGTTCCTGACTCAAAGCTGAAAAACATATTAGCTTTGACTGAAGTTAAATGTAAGAATTAATTGCAGAGTGTAAAAAGAAGCATAAGTGATTGGTAGAACATAAATCTCAATGAGCAAATAATGTGATTGCCATGTCTAATTAAAGAATCAAGTTTGTAGTTGCTAGGAAGATTTTTGGTTGTGGTTCTGGAAAGATCCTGTGTAATAGAGCAAATAATCTAATGATATGAGATAGCTCACGGGTGTCAAACCCGTGGCATGACGGCGGCATCACGTGACTTATCGGGATTTTTTCCTCTTCACTAAACTGGGTGGGGCCAGCCAGTGATACTTGGCATATATGGAGCAGTAAAGCTGCTAAAAGAATAACTTGTTCCTCTCTAATCTGGCCTGCGGGCCTCGAGTTTGACACCACTGAAATAGCTCCATGGATTTGACTAGTAGAAGAGAGCCAAAAGATCTGCCAATAGAAAGGATCTGGGCATTTTATGGCTGATCTGGCTCTCAGCAGTGTGGGGCAGGTTCTGGCAGCCTTGGAGGTGGAAAATCATTGGCAAGGGGTGGGGCTTCAGTCTGTGAGTATCGGCAGGATGTTGGCAGAGAGCAGGGCAGGGCATTGGTGGCAAGGGGCGTTGTGGCCTTCCACAACAGTCCCAGTTTCTCAGTTCCTTTTTGCAGAAATATGATGTGAATGTGTCCTACAATCAATCAATCAATCAATCAATCAATCTCATGTGCCTCTTGGGAAAATTAATTACCCAAACTTGCTTTTGTGTGGTAAAAAACTACCCTGTTTCCCGAAAATAAGACATCCCCTGATAATAAGCCCAATTGGGCTTTGGAACACATGCGCTAAAATAAGCCTCCCCCCGAAAATAAACCCTCCCCGAAAATATTTAAATGCAGAGCTGGAAATCAGGTAAGACGGCAAGAGGAGCCCCATCTTCCTCCACACGCCCCAAAATAAAAAGACCTCCCGGAAAATAAGGCCAAGTGCTTATTTTGGGGTTCAAAAAAATACAAGACAGAGTCTTATTTTCGGGGAAACATGGTAGCAACATTCAGAATCAAATCCTAAACATGATTCCCCCCCCCCCCGAAGAAGTAAATCTCACTGAATTGCGAAGGATTCTCACTCTGCTAGGCATGCTTAGGAAGCTTTTTTTCATTTATTTGAAATGTTAATATGGTTAGAAGATTTAGGACCATACCTCTTCTGGAAGCCTTCTTAAAATTGGAATTATGCAGCAGAGCTCCAAGTATTCAGTGGTGCATTTAAGGTTGAGGTGCTATGTAGCATATGATGAAAATTTTCCACTGATGCCTAAGGAGAAGACAGACTCCTGGCCATTCTTCCATATATGATCTTTTATAACAGGTTTTTTTTTTTACCTAAATGGAAATTCTGCATACATGTATAGCCAGGTGATATGAAGTAGTAATATTGGACATATCTATATATTCATATATTAATAGATAAGGATTAGCTTGTCTCTCAAAATCTTTCATATTATGTTAAGCAAAAGGTTCTGGTGCACATGCTATCCACTCATATCCTGTTTTGCAGATTTGAGCGATGTCCTCTTTAAATTCAATCTTGCTTAACATACTATGCCAAAAGATATGAGTTGTGAATCTAAATCTCAAAGTGTTTTTCCACATGAGAGAGCAGCTGTGTTAAATCATTTAGTATTTAAGTTTACAGATGCAGTTGCAGGTTATCTTGTCACTAGAAAAGATGGCATCAATTTTGCAGTAAACAGCTCACATTGCCAAGCTTGATAGTGATATAGAAATGAGTAAGCAATCAGTGTTCATCTGAGAAAGAAGTTTCATTATTAAATCTGACAAAAATCTATTTTTAAAGGATATATAGGATATAATTTTGAGAATGAAGGATGTAAAGGTAATCATTGATTTACAACCATAATTGAGCCTTTGTAAGTCATGGCGGTTAAGTGTGACCATGCCTGATTTTATGACTGTTTTTTGTGCCAGTGATTAGGGAATCTGGCAATCATTAAGTGATTGTCATTTTCCCCAAAGGGCATTTTTTACCAGAAATTGGAAGTAAATACTGGTTTTTGGCAAAAAATTCCAAAAATCATGATCATGTGACAACAGGATGCTGCAAACAGTTGTAAATGTGGGGCTGTTGCCAAGCACCCATAATGTCGTCACATGACTATGGGGGGGCAGCCATTGGAACCTTAAAACTGGGTTATAAGTAGGTCTGAGGAGGTTTGTTGCAACTTTGAATGGTCACTAAGTGAGCAGTTATAAGTTGAGGACTACCTGTATTATAATGATAAACACATCATTCCATTCTGAACAAGTTTGTCTCATTAACTTTGTGTTTTCTGAAATCCATTAACTTACTAGAAACTACAGAATTAATAGATAAATAACGTGCCATCTTGGAAATATTGTGAAAATGGGCCAGTGAGTTAGAAATTACAGTGTACAATTTGCTGATCTTATAGCAGATTTACAAGGACTTCAGTTTTAACAGTTTTAAATTTTACTTTATCTTTTTATATCTAGGAAAGCGTAGAGTTATAACCCTGTTCACATTTCCAGATATGTGGCCACATTAAATATTGTTGGATTCGCTTCTCAATAGCACATGTAGGATTAATAAATGGTTTTAGAATAATTCGTAGAGTTCAGCTATTGGGATTGCGAGTAAGATGGGTGGTTTCTAGGTAGGTAGGTAGGTAGGTAGGTAGGTAGGTAGGTAGGTAGGTAGATAGATAGATAGATAGATAGATAGATAGATAGATGATAGATAGATTTATGTCCAATGCTTGAATATTCTATTCTTGCTTTGCTCTTTATACTCTTCGATGGGGCACACAGTCATTTTTAGAAACTGTGCTAGTTTCCAACTAGGATTTGATTGGTTTAGAGGTAAATTGATTTTAATATAACACCAAATTATGGATTTCTAGAAAATTATTCAAATAACTAGAATCTGTAATTTGGAGAGGAAATACATATAACTCTGTAACAAGGTACCAGTGATAAAAATATGATTTGTCAGTTCTGTTAAATTAATCCTTTCACTCTAAAAATGAATAAAATTACTTAGATTTCAATATTATTCCTATTGGGGAATTGAAAAACCATGTCACAAGTTGTATAGTGGTATTGGATGATCATTGTAGGGACAAAACACAGCAGTTGGGAACAGAAATGTAGCAAAGGTTTTCATGAAGATTTGAAATGAAGTATCTTCTTTATAGTTTCAGGTATGCCCTAAAAGTTTGTGTGTGTCAACACCTGGACACCGGACAGATCTGTTTCAGAGAAATCCTGATAATGTCTTGATAACTGATTTTTTTGGGAGTGTACGAAAAGTGGAAATTACAACTGAGACAGTTTCTTTGGATCCTAATTTGGCACCTGCAGAGACAAGGTATTTTGATTTATTTTTTGAACCTCAGATATTCATAAATGAAAAATAATTAAAAAAATATATCAAGGTATAAAAGAATTGATCCATACAGGTAAATTCCAGAATGCGTGTACAGATTGGAATAACATTACTGCAAAAAGATTCTAGGTGATGTTCAGGAAGACACTGTGTGAACATTCATTGGAGAGTTTATTTTTGTGTGTATATTTTGGGTTGTGTACTTTGTTTCTTGGAACTACAGGAATAGAGGAAGCAATGGGGCATGCATGATGATAGTATATTGATTTAAGAATTACCAAGAAAGTAAGATAAAATATTTGAAAGCCTCAAGGCTCATGAACATTGGAAATCTAAAATTTATATCTCCCCCAAAAAGGTAATGAAGAGGATGCTAGATGCTTGTCTGTCTGGAATAAGGCATTCATAAAACATTAGTATTTAGAATACTAATACTCATAAAGCTACATTACAATCAGAATATATGAAGAGAGAATATAAAATACGGAGTAAAGGTAGTCCTTGACCTACATCCATAATTGGGACCAGAATTTCCGTTGCTAAGCAGGGCATGAGTTGCATCTGATTTATGCCCTTTTTTTTGGCACGGTTGTGAATCTGGGATTGTGAAGTGAATCTGGTTTCTCCCGTTGACTTTGTTTGTCAGAAACCAGCTGGGAAGGTCACAAATTGCAATCACATGACTTTGGGATGCTGCAACTGTGATAAATACATCCCGAATACCAAGATCTTCACATGACTGTGGAGATGCTATAACAGTTGTAACTCCGAGGATTAGTTTTAAGGCACTTTTTTCAGTGCTGTGGTAACTTTGAATAGTCATTAAATGAATGATTGTAAATCAAGGCCTACCTGTATGCAGGTAAATAGCATACCTGTTTTTGTGTGCTTTGTTTGTTGTGCGTCATGGATTTTTTTTTTTAACAAATTGAAGATTTGTGGCATATCTATTGTGCTAATTTTCCAACAGCATTTACTCACTTTCTCGCTCACAATTTGATAATTCTTGCAATTTTTGCAATAGTTCAGCCTTTTTCATTATTATTAATCAGAGGATGATTAGCATTTTTATCATTTTTTTAAAAATTAAGGTATGTACATTTTTAGGCATAAAGCTATTGCAATATAACTTTTATATGCACTGAGAAACAAAAAAAATCCATGTGACTTGCTTTATTGCAATATTTGTTTATTGTGATAGTCTAGAATCAAACTCGCAATAGAGCCCTGGTGGCGCAGCAGACTAAAGCAGACTAAAGCACTGTTATTAACATCAGCTGCCTGCAATTACTGCGAGTTCAAATCTCACCAGGCTCAAGGTTGACTCAGCCTTCCATCCTTTCTAAGGTAGGTAAAATGAGGACCTGGATTGTGGGGGCAATAAGCTGACTTTGTATAAATATACAAAAGTATGAAGGCTATTGCTTAACACATTGTAAGCCACCTTGAGTCTCTGGAGAAGGGCGGCATATAAATCAAATAAAAATAAAAAATAAATATGCCCGAGGTATGCCTGTCTCTGGATGCCAGGGTATCCAATACTTACTGGGTGTGAGTATGGAGAACTGGAACAATCATTGTGGGAATTCTATACAGTATGTGTGTTTTTTTCCTTAGTTAGAAACCGTAAACAATTTGAGTTCCAGTTCAAAAGCAGAGTTTGTGAATTCAGAATCAAAATCAGTACCTTCAATGGAGTATAATGAACAGATGCAAGGAGTGACTATGACAATAACTTTTATGTATAAATCAGTTTCCGATTCTTGGAGACTCAGATTCATCTTATATAAATTGGAAAACCTTCCAGTACGCAGCAGAATTTGTAAGCATATATCTATATAGCAAAATTGAAATATTGCCTCCACATTTTTGATTGGTGGGTTTGGGAGAGAAATAAAAGGTAGGGAAAGGATTCATCTGAAATATGTAACGTTTATGGAATGTACATTTTCAGGCAACAAGCTGAATTTATATGCAGTCTTATGTTGCCATCTGTTGGGAGCTCTTGGGATAACAAAAATATTTTTGTCCTGTTTTATCTACGGTATAAGTTGGCATTGATTACAAAAATGTGTTGCACATAAATTGGATCAACAAGGTTTCATACTTCATTTCTGAAGTATTTCATCTTTTTCAAAGTAATAATTAGATCTTTTTCTAGATCAGGCCTTTAGTATTTGCAGTATGAAGTATTAATTTTTAATCTTGTTTATAGAACAAAGATACGTTATTTATTCTATTTAATTCCATCATGCTTTCAAGAGACCTGCTTTTTATCCTCCTGAAGTGACTATATTAGGAGAATAATCACTCAGTGCAAGCATGTATGGAAATTTCTGTCTGGATCTCCTTGGTTTGAGAGTGAGTCAAGGCAATGGCCACTATAACATTTCCTTTCCTTATTTTATATGTGTGTGTGAGGGAGATAAAGGAGGAGAAAAGCAAACATTTAGCCAGAGAAGTACAAATAAAAAGACAGAACAATGAGACATAACTAAAATATGAAACTTGAGCAAATATGTAAGTGCTTTGAGAGGTGAAGCATACTGAAAACCCTGATTAAATGTCAGCGCACCATAGTATCTCCATCCTAGTGGGATGTGATGTAGGTTTGCAAAGCAGTCACTAAATTAGATATCCTATCTTGCATAGAATTGTATGAAAGTGCTTAGGGTAAAACTAGGCTGTGTTTATGCTTTGGGGTGATAACTGAGTGAGATTGTTTTTATTGTTACTAGAAAATGTGGCATTTGTAGAACTAAAGCTCATAACCTAGTCCAAGTTCATCCAAATAATCCTAGAAGACGTTTAAATTCAAATTTAAAATAGAAAGCCTTCTGCTTGTTTCAGTATAGCTACTGCATACAACTTTCAGTACTGTTTCCTTCTTTTCATACATTATTTATTGTGAATTTATTGAAAACGAAAGCTATTACTTTTGTGAAATCCAATACAAGCAATATGTTCACATTTGTTCCCAATTCACAACTGATTATTTTTTTCACTTCTAATCTGAAGGTACACTTTCTTTGTTCAGAAGCTCTTGAGAGATTGTCACAGTGAAGGACTACAATTTCTAGTATTAAAAGAAAAAAAAAAGAAAAGAAATGACAGCATTTTTATATTTTGATCAGTTCCTGTAAAGTTTAGAGTGAATCAGATTGCACACTTTGTATATTTTTAACAAGTATACCCCGGATTGGACTGATATTAAGCATTGCGTTTTGATTTTGGTCAATGATAGACAGGACGCCTCTGAGAAATCCTGTGTAAAATACAAACATGCAAACTGAATATACTTTGCGCATGCCACATTTTAAAGATTAGCATTATTTAATTTTTGCAAGATTTCATTTCATGCCCACAAATAATTATTCTCCATGAATCTGTTGAAAAATATTTATGGATTCATGCAGTTCTATATATAAACACGCCTCATTTAGCGATTAACTTGTTTAGCGAACACAGCAGTAATACGATAATTTTTTGACCAATGCATGCAATTACAACCAAATTTCATGTACCTCTGATAACAATGCACGCTGGAGTGAGAATAACGCTGGCAAAGCTGCACAAGAGAAATTTATCCGAAAGAGATAACAACAACCAGTGACCTTTTCAATATATATCTATCTCCCTCTCTCTCTTCCCCTCTCTCTCCCCGCTCTCCCCCTCTCTCTCCCTCTCTATCATGTGTTCATTTAGCAACATTTTGCTTAATGACCTAGTTCTTTGAGCTGTGAACAAAATCATTAAATGAGGAGTAGGTGTATATATATATAGATGTATGTGTGTATTTTTCCTCCTGTTTGGTGGAGTGACTTGTAGTACCTAGTATTTTCCCCAATATTTTGCATTGGAAAGCTTGTCAATATCACTGAACAGACAGAAACCTCATAGTTTTTCCTGATTTTCAGAATAGTTTTCTCTGAAAATCTCAAACTTCACCAAAATATTGTTTAAATAAATTTCAACGGGCAAAGCAATTAGCTGTGTATTTTTTTAAAATGTATATTTTTCTCACAAGCTGCATTTTGCTGTGGAGATTGAATCACCTACGAGATATTTGATTAGTATAGTATAGTAGTATAGTAGTGTAATTCTAGAGATGCGGTGTTTTTTTTAAAGTTTTATTGAGTTTAATATGGCTTCATGTGGGATGCTGTTGGGGCAGTCCAGAAAATCTGTCTTAGGAGCAATTCTGGCAAAGTTTACAGAAAATACAAGAAATCATGAAGATACCACAATTCCATCTTGGTACTTTAGCCGCCTTTTAATTTTGCCTTTTCTACTTTTGCTGCTAATCCATAAATTGCCTAATCCCGTGCATCATGCCACACAATGTTATATTGGGGGAAGGGGGCTGTTCTTCATTAAAACGGACTGTTTGGCATAAATATTTCATCACCGAAGTGTATCGGTGTGGAAGAACTGCTTGCGGGTGTGTGCATGTCATTGGTAGCGTGCAGTATATTAAATAGGTTTAGAAGGATGATGAATGGGATAATAAGGTAACAAAAATCTCAGGAGGGAATGTTTGCATAATATTCTGGGTGAGTATTTGTAAAAATACACAGCTAGTTCTCCACTTACAACAGTTAATTTACTGACCGTTTGAGGTTACAACGACACTGAAAAAAGTGACATAACCGTTTTTCACATGACCATTTGCAGCATCACGTGATCAAACTTCAGATGCTTGGCAACTGACTCATGTTTATGATGGTTGTAGTATCCCGGGATCCTGTGGTCACCTTTTGCAACCTTCTGACCAGCAAAATCAATAGGGAAGCCAGATTCACTTAACAACTGTGTTACTAACTTAACCACTGCAGTGATTCATGTAATAACTGTGGAAAGAAAGGTCATAAAATGGGGCAAAATGCACCTAACAATGTTTTGCTTAGCAACAGAAATGTTGGGCTTAATTCTGGTTGTAAGTCAAAGACAACCTGTATTTGCCCACTTTGAGCATTTTGGAA